GATAATAAGATGTAGTTATAAATATAAAAAGTTTTAAAATAAATTATAAGCAACAATTCTAATCAATATTTATTTCAAATTTGATTCATGTACTTCTTCACAGCCAGGGTACCGCGCCACACAGTCAACGTTTGCAACGTGAGCTTTGTCATACTCCTTATGTTCTTCCTTGTTAAACTCTTTGCCTTTTGGTAACCTGGAATCATTAAAAAGCATATTAGAATTTAACTATAACATTTAAAATACCTATGTATTAATTTGTCCTAATTCTCATTAGTAGTAGCTACAGCAACTAATTTTGAGACTGTTAAAACCAATTCAATATGCTTTCTATGACTGATATCTCTTACGAATATTTTTAACATCTTTGTCAAGTATGTACGCTTGCAAAAAGTCCTGTCCGTTACCAACTTTGTAGTCATTGAATTCTATTGAAAATTAAATAGCATAAGACCAAATAGTAATCCAATCAGTCCCCTTTTTGTTATAGACACTTCATCACACTTCATCATAAAAGAAATCATACTCTAAACTAAAAATCCTTACTCCAACTGGTTAACTTCAATAAAATCCAGCAAGAAGGATAAGGAGAGAAGAATTCCTCGCAATACCAGTCGAGAATACAACATAAGTGAGAAAATCGATACTCACGTGAACACAGCTCTGAGGAATTCTTGCAAGAATGTCCCCTGCCTTGGAGCCCGCTGCGCCGCCTCGCATAGTTTATAAAGAACGCACTGACGCCCGTCTCGTCCCATCCTGCACAGATTACGTTAAGCTGTTTAGAAATGCTTTATTGTGGCGAACACATTACACGCTAAGCATCTAACCTTCGCTGGGATGTTTTGTACAAGTTTTGTTTGGTTAAAGTTAATGGGTTGAAATTAGCATGAGGCATTTTAAGTGGTCGGAATATTAAATGTGTTAATGTTAAAATTGTTAATAGGCGATCACACTGAAAGAAAAGCATAGCATAGTTGCTATGCTTTTAGGAAATTTAATATAAAATATAAGAAATGTCAAAACGCCTGTAAAATGACTTCAAGCTTTGGGATATAAGGAAAAAGGTCATCAATACAAAAATGGTTGTGTTATTTTTTTCTAAGATTCCTTCTCAATCGCTCTTTTGATCTGCCGTTAATATCATCCTACTGAACAAATCAAGAGACAAAAATGAGAGTCCTTTAGAAAAAAAAAAATCTTTTATAATACACGTTTAAAAAACCTGAATTCAATCCCTTCTTTTTTAATGTAGGTTAATTAATATAGTCGAACTAAAAACGTCCTTATTTTGAAGTCGGTTAAAAACGGAATCACTAGGTTTATATTTTACTAGACTTGCTTAACCCGTGGTATTGTAGATCTATCTACATGAGATAATATATTTTCTATTATGTCTCATATACCGGCTACTCAAGAGGTTAATGGTCATGGGTACTTACGTGATTAATAGTTTCTCAAACTTCTGATACAGCTCCAACCGATTCTTCCGATGAAACTCTTTACTATTCTTGTCCAGATCATGAATTTTCAAATGTCCAGTCTTGAAATGGTTCCTATGCATCTTCTTCCTATTTATTTTAGGTTTCAGCTTTATGGACGACAGCAAATGGTCATCTATACTTCTCTTTCCTAAGACCGGAGTAATTATAAGCTTTCTGAAATACATATTTGCAATTTACTGAAATGCTACTTGAAAACTATGAGAATTTGAACCTTTCCACGGTTGGGTTGGGTCTAATTATAACCATCATCAATCATCACCTACAACAAATCGCTGTGGAGCAAATTAGATTGATATCCTTAAATTGACATCAGCAGTTTTTTGAAAAAAATGTGGTGCATGCTAAATAAAACATTGTTCTTCTTCTTCAAATCATTAATTCAGTCACTAAATTCTTATTTAAAATAAAACCACTACAGGAACCAATCAAAAAAATATGCACACACGTACCTTTTATAAGGAACTTTAGCAATCAGTCTTCCATCTTCATCCAAATAGTTGATGGTTTTAACCACATCATTTCTTCGCAGGGGTCTCTCATAGTCCTTCAAAGCGTGGAATATGTTAGGGTCCGTCGGCAGTAACCAAGCCAACCCAGCGGTTTCAGCAAACAGGAAAATATCACCAATCGGAATCAACACCGGAGTTTGATACAGAAATACTGGAAAATTTAAATAAGATATATAAATATATATATATATATTAAATATCTATTAGACAACTACTGATAGTTTATTAAGGTTTAATTACTAGAATTCTATTTCGAAAATGTTTTAGAATGTATTTGCCTACCCAGCTGAAATGAACTTCCATCCGGGAATATGAGAAACCTTTTCCTTCTTGATAACACTTTTGATTTTCCATTGTCATCGTGATCTTCATCAATGGTATCATTTTGATATGCCCTTAAATCCCCAGCAATTGCTATGCGCAAAACTGAACACAAAATTATAAATAATAAACTATTCATGTTTCAAAATTAAAAATTCGAAATTGAATTCCAAAAATCGTTATTTCAAAAAATGCAACGCATGCTTGCCTCGCGTATTTGGTTGGAACTGGCCAGTCACGATAATAAGAGCTAGTTGTAGTGACCTGTCATTTTGGAAATCGGACTTTGGAGGCAGCCATTTTTAAACAATGGAATTTTTCAATTAATAACCCTATGTTACTTGGTTTACGGTTATTTTCCGGATGTTAAAAGCCAGTGTTGGCTTAGCTCGGAAAAGAAAGCAAATTAGATCTCATTAGAGTGTCTGTGTTTAATATCTCTAAGCCGAGCAAAATATTGGACTATTTTCCTGTTTTGATAGCATCGTACGATTTCAAGTAAGCAGCAACTGACCAATAGATAAATAAACATAAATTATTTTCAAATAATCAAAAACGAAGTTTGAAAAAAATTAATAAGAATAATTAGTCGCAGTCTAAAATGTTACACTGTGATGAATCAGCGTGGTGTTGCGACGTCGTTCAACGTGCTCTAGATACGTCGCAGAACATGTTGCATCTACTTGTTGCGTCAGCTGTCACCTACCGTTGCGTGCAACGTATCGTGAAACAAGGCGAAGGTATGTAATCATTACCTGTATTAAATATTTTATGATTTTAGAATAGACTGATAAATATTTAAGGGCAACACATTCCTAGGTTTGTAAAAAAAATCTCAGTATTAGCGGAGCCTAGAATTGTGCTTGGTATATGGCAATAGACTCTCATGACATAAATATTGAAAAGTGGGTGTTACATTGTACGCTGCCATTAAGCGTCGTAATGTGCACCTCTGCATACCCCTTCGGGGATAAAAGGCGTGATGCTATATTATGTTAAAATTAAATATTATGAATAATATATTATATTATCTATATAATATATATTTATTATAATATATATTAATATGAGACCTTATATATTTATATGAGATATATATATGAGGCCGTGGTATCACTCCGGTCAAGCCGGTCCATTCGTGCCGAAGCATGACTCTCCCACACTTATGTTGGTGGTCTCAATTCTTAAAATAGATGTTAAATTAACATGACATAGCATTGCATCTTTTTGCCAAAAGGCACCTACCTGCCTTTGGTGCCTGAGGTGAATACTATATAATTATTAAACCAATGGGTTGGATATTTTCTAAAAAACACATTTCTGATACTATAATGTTGTGTTGTTGTTGTCCGAGTCATGTGAGACTCTTAGAAAATTAGTAGCCAACAATGCATGCTCGTCCATTAAAGGTTCTGTTGCTTTGGTCCTTTTCAATAACTTTCCTGTTTTGTTAGAACGTCCGACGATGTAGATGCCCTTTATTAAGTCCTCTAAAATATAGCGTGCCCCAAAAATTTATAGATTGAATTGATTGAATTTATACACTGATCTGAATATTAATCCTTACTAATATTATAAATCTGAAAGTGAGTTTGTTTGTTTGTTCCACCTTCACGCCGTAACTACTCAACCGATTGCTTTGAATTTTTGCAGACGTAAAGTTAGAAGTCCGGTTTAAATAATAGGGTACTTTTTAACCCGGAAAAATTGAGATTCCCGAGGAAAAACAAAAGTATTGGTATAGATGGCGCTGTGTGTAATGGTATATGTCAATTAAGATACTTTTTATTCTTTTGTGACGCGAGCGAAGCCGCGGGTAAAAGCTAGTTACGAAATAAGAAACATTTCAGTGCGCCGTTGGTCGAGTTTTTGCAACTGCACAGGCAAAGTATACGAAGATATTTTCAAAAATTTCTCAGTAGTAGCACGGAGTCTGTAACTGTACTCTGTATATGGCAATGTACTGCCTCCTATCGTAACATAACTGATAAAAAGTATTACACTGCATATTTGGTATAATAAGCCTTTATGTGCACCCATGCCTTTCGTGAATGAATGGCGTGACGAAATCAATAATTAATAATTCTTTTCTAAAGTACGTTTAAAAAACCGACTCCAACCCCCTCTTTTTTTAAGTCGGTTAATTAATATACTAAATCCTTCTTTCTCCCAAGTGTAATAATCACTAATCACTACACTAATCTGAAAACCGATCAAAATCGGTCCAGCCAATCGCGAGATCGGCATATCGTCATGGTGGCCCGGAGGTTTAAGACGCCCTCTTCTCATGCATGAGGATGCAGGTTCGAAACCTACCTACGGCAAGTACTAATGTGAATTTTTCCGAGTTACCTATATGAACTTTCTAAGATCTAGCCACTGACAAACGGTGAAGGAAAACATCGTGAAGAAACCTGGGCTTATAATTCCTAATTATAAGTTTGTAATCGCCAACCCGCATCGAGCAAGCGTGGTGATTAATACTCAAACCATCTCCGTGTGAGAAGAGGCTTTGCTCAGCAATGGGCACGTATAGGCTGTTGATGAATCGCGAGATATGTAACCGTGCATATATGCATATACATATAGGGTCAAACTGAAAACCTCCTTTTTTGAAGTCGGTTAAAAATAGGAAACACTTGTTCTATATTATTTATTTATTTGTTTATATTGATATCGATTCATGCAAGTCTTCGCATCCAGGGTACCGTGCCGAACAGTCATCAGTCTCAACGTGGGCTGTGTCGTACTCCTTCAGTTCATCGTATTGGAATTCTTCTCCTTTGGGTAACCTGGAACGATAAATTTATTCATTCAATATTTTCCATAAATTTATTTAGAATTCTCTAAAATTACATTTTTAAGTACTACTTACAAATAAAAATAATATTTAAAAATATAAAAATAGGAACCAACTATTAGCGAGACCGAGAGCATGGTCCAAGCTAGTGGTGATTAATTTATTATTATTTATTTATAAATTATTTATAAATAATAATATTATTTTTGAGTTTTAAGCTCATAGTAGTGAACGGGGTGTTAAGGTGGCGCTTCTCAAAGATGAGGCTTACAAGTAAGGGGAAGGAAATCTATCTAAATCATTGTTATATTCCTCGTGCGAGCAGAGACCTCTGCCTATTAGTGGAAATATCAACAGGATGGTATCACTTAACTGTACAGCAAGTTCAGCTTTATAACAATCAATAGAATGTTGAAAACTCGTCTAGACAGCATGTATTTAAAACAATGTAAATTGAGAATGGAGCTTCTTACTACTTCTTCTCCACTAGAATCTACATTTTGGAACGAGCGCCTAGCTTCACTGACGTACAGACTGACAGACTATTGTTTACTTTATAAAGTCAAAGTCAAAATCATTTTATTCGATTAGACCAGGAAGGCACTTTTGAACGTCAACAACAAAAATTTAGAAGTGAAGCTAGTTGCTCATTCCAAGGTGTAGATTCCTATGGTGAAGTACGACCAAGAGACTCAATAGGTTTAATCTAATCGTTTAATTTAATCGGCTTACAATACAATTCTCTAGTTACATATTTTTGTTGGTTCGATTGTGTGAGAACATTTGTTGACGTTTCAAAAGTACCAAATCATGGTTTAATTGAAATAAATGCTTTTGAGTTTGAGTTTGAATAACTAAAGAAAATGCAATTGACTTACGTAAACACAGCTCTGAAGAACTCCTGAATAAACGTCCCCTGACTCGTAGGCCGCTTCGCTGCCTCACATAGTCTGTACAGGACGCATTGACGTCCATCGCGACCCGTCCTGCAAATAGGATATTGATAATTAATATTTTGAGACACATGTAAATGATTGTGGAAGTTTGATATGGGATGGATCAGCAAACAGATCACCTGATAGGTAAATTATCTGCGGTATAGATGTTTCATCTCACAAGCGCACATGCGCCATACTTGTGTGGGTAAATATCCATGCATGTCTTTATGTCGGCATGCCAATAAATGAGCTTGCTACGAGTTACGCACACAAGCGCGCGTGTCTAGAGCTATACGCACTTTTACTGCAACTAGGGCTCATCAGCGCTCGTGAAGTAATAGAGCTATGACCATAAACAGTAGCAAGTACGCTACCAGACTTCAGTTGAAGAGTTTTACAAGACCTTATCGACACCTATAAATATCATAATTATCATAGCAGCAGACTGAATAGGAAAGCCCAGGTTTGACGTTCAAAAATGTATTTTAATGTAATCGAAATAAGTTACCATATTGATTTGTAGTCATTCATCTAACCACAAAACTAATAACTTAAAACCAAGTCATATTATAATACTTACGCAGATAACAATTTCTCTATTTTCTCATACAGATCCACTCGATTACTTCTATGGAACTCTATACTGTTCTTGTCTAAATGCTGGGCCTTCAAATAATCTAATTTCAAATGCCTCTCATGCATCTTCTTTCGATCTATTTTTAATTTTAGTTTTTCTTTGAAAGATAGTGTGTCATCGTCTTCTATGCTTCTTTTGGCGAAAGCTGGATTCACTATGATTCTCCTGGAAAGGTAATAGGTATGAACATTAATAGGATTATAATGAAATAATAAGAAAGAGTATCCAGGTACAGCTTAGTTGGTTGTATAAAAAATGTTGTTTCACTGCAACTCTATGACTGTCCAGTTAATATAGGAACTGATAAATTTGTTTTTTGTAATTTATACATCATGGGGACCAACTAGATGCTTACATATAATTTGAACAGAGCGTTATTAAAAAAATCGTTAATTAAAAAAGATTCGAACAATAATCTATAAATGTTTGCTTCCTGGTCTTTTTGTTTTTATTGACATAAAAGAAGATAGTAAGATAAGCCGTGTGGTGACGGCAGTTCATACATTTGCTACCAATACCACTCCAACTAAAGGAACTTCTTTTGACAGGAACTAAGAGATCTGATGAACCTGAACCTTTTAATCTGCAATAACCTGCTTGCTAAGCGTGTACATTGTGCCAAAACTTACGTAAAGAAGATTTATATTCCAACAAGGTTAAGCATTGCCATTCAACGTGGCAATGCTGCCAGTCTTTTGGGCACCCTACCTCATGGTAGCGATGAGGAAATTTTTTTCTTTGATGCCTTATGATACATTTTTTTTCCAACAATGTACATTAAGTCAAGGACTTGATAATAAAATGAAGATAGTAAGGTATATAAATACTTAAACATACTTTTTATAAGGAACTTTAGCAATCAGATGTCCATCTTCATCCAAGTAGTTGATAGTTTTGACCACGTCATTTCTTCTCAAAGGTCTCTCGTATTCCTTCAAATTGGTGAATATGCTGGGGTCAGTGGGCAGGTTCCAGGCGAGACCGAGGGTGCTGCCGAAGAGGAAGATGTCTCCAATGGGGATCAACGCCATGGTCTGACAGCAAAATACTGGAAACAGAGAAATATTTCCATAAGCGATATGACACTTAAGGCAAAGCTGAAAATTTTGAATGGTAATGAAGCCTGGGGACGGAGTTGAATAAAACTCCTCTTTTTAGTCTTATCTCATTGTAACTTAGGTTCATTACTTATACGTGTGATGTGAATAAGCTTAGTTCTGATTAATCAGCTGATTTACTTGTATGCTACCAAACATTGCGAAATACTACTTTATATACTAGGTTATTTATTGTATGTACGCGACAGATAATAGGAACAAATTGGTATTTGTACTTTTTTCTTCTCTATTCTATGTTCTTCTGCTATCAGACTGATGGAAAGGCTAGAAGACGAATTTTTTAAGAGTACGATCAATTTATTATCGAAACATCTTGTTTAACAAGTTTCGCTAAGTGTCAGGGTTCGCACTGCTCTGTAAACAAGCTCTAACTAAACTTTGCTTAACTGAACAGATTAAACTGCAACTATCCATTTATATGTAAGAACTAATTGCAAGATTAGATAGAAATTTCAACATAAAACATATTCTTTAGTACATCAAGGTCATTATTTTCTTCAAACATATCAAATTTAGAAATTTAAGGTAATCAGTTTCGTGTAATTACTAACGGGCAAGTTTCAATTAAGAATCATTAACAGTTCCGACATTTAGTTCAAGAATGTCAAATAAACTTTTTGAACTACATAAGCATTAACATAAACCTGAAGCTGAGCTCAGAGGTACATACACACACTCACACACATGCATTCATTCTCATTACAGAAATATGGTTCCTGTTGCACTTTTGAAAAGAATAAATTAATTTTATAATCCTTTAAAGCTCAAATGCTTAGCACACATAAGTATTCACCTACCCAGTTGTAGAGAGCTTCCATCTGGAAATATTACGAATCTCTTTCGTCTCGACAACGCTCTTGATCCTTCATTTTCCTCGTGGAATTCATTTGCCGTATTATTTCCATTGTCCCTAACATTTTCACTAATTACTGTCTGTAAAACTAGGAACGTTACGAAATATGAAAAGATACTATTCATATTTGGAACAATAACGAACAGTTATTCAAAAAACTTATTTCGAAATAGGAACGCAACCTGTTCCTAACGGATTTTATTTAGAACTGGCCACATGGACGTCGAACTTGAAAGATTCTAAATACGATTTTCAAAACACTATTCAGAGTTGCCCGATGTAAATCATAAAATGTACTGTACCGATTTTGAAATATTGAAACCCTACAAATGAAACGGTCAATTAACACTATGTAAATTGATTTACTGTTATATTCGTGCGACAATTTAAACTGTTAAAAACATAAAATGTTTGCTTAGAAACAAAGAAAGGCGTAGGCCTGCTTAAAATGGTTAAAAGTCATTGTTCTTGACTGTATACACGACTGAGACGAAGGTAAAAATAATAAATAAAACAAAACACATATCAATATTTTATTAAACTTACAGTAATTGAACAAAGCCATTGAATATTACTTATAATGAGGTAAGGTATGAGGTTCAAAATAAGATCAATGATTCTTTATTACAAATAATACAATTAAAAATGAACACACTTTTTTAAACCGTAACTACTGTACTTACATATCTACTTATCCACTAAATATACACCGTGAAATCTAAATAACATTGTTTTACAAAGAAATATAATGCTTAAAACAAAAAATAACAGGTGAGCCATTGCAAAAATCTAAATTCGAAAGCGCATACGAACTCATAGTACCTCTAAATTATCAAAAAACACGTCATATAATTCTCGAAGAGGTATCTCTCGTCGGGTAGCACGTGCGATGCAAATAGTGCCTACAAATTTACGTCATGAGCGCATTTCCATGATTTTTTTTTAACTACAAAATCTTTATTTTTTTGTTTTTATTTTACACATCGAAAATACTCTTTAATTATGGCAAGTTGTTTTGCCGCTAGACGAAATAGATTTCACGGTGTAAGCATATGAATATAAAATAAAAAAGATAAACCAATCGCCAATACTTAATCGACGAAAGGTTTGCCAACTTATTACTTTTACTCCCATATTTCCCATTACCAAATTAATACAAACTTTTTTATTTTATCTTGAAATCGACGACACTAGGTAGGACATATTGAACTAGAAATTACATATTTTGTACTCTAAACTACAAGTATTATTAATTTTATCTTACTCTAATAATCAAATTCCGTCCGGATTTATTGTCGTTGAACACAATATATACTATTCACAATCATTACTATAACAGCAACATACTAAATCTATATTAATTACCAACTTATAAAATAAACAACATGTGACAAATGTGGCATGAAAAGTCAAAGTCAAAATCATTTATTTCAATTAGACCATAAAGGCACTTTTGACGTCAACAAAAAATTAAAAGAGATGCTGTTTGCTCATTCCAAGGTGTAGATTCCTACAGAGAACGAGCAAGAAACTCCATAGGCTACACTTTTTCAATCAGGTTTTCAATACAATTCTTTACTTACATAGTTTTGTAGGTTCAGTTGTATGACAACAATGTAACACCAAAATCCAGTCAAAGGGATCGAAAAAGAAAATAACCCTATGGTCAATAAAATCATATAGTCTGGAGTTGACGAGTCCCAGTTGACAGCGATATAACCATTAGTTCAAATGTCAACTTCCATTAAGTGAAACCCTAAAAAAATTGACAAAGTCAACTGAACCGCTGGTCCCTAAAAATGGAAACACAAGATTCCACTTTATATAGAAACTGCAAATAGGAATCGACCAGTCACAGTTGAGCTTTCAGACGCAGCCGTTATTTCAACGAGAGGTCATAGACAAGCGAGAATTGGTTGGCACTTCTATTGCATGTACCTATGTTACTGCATCTTTTTATTCTTATATTTTTGTAAGTAGATCTATGAATGTGCGGAAAAATGGCTTGATACATCCTAATTAGGTATACTATAGCTTTTTCTGCTTCAATTGTTAGTTGGCTCTTATTAAGATTACTATGGTGCCTTACTAGGTAAGAATATCCAATTCAAAATGAAAATATTATTAGAAACTTGTTTAAGAATCAACACCTTTTTTTCAAAATTAACGTCCAGTTTAACGAGATCTACAAAAAAGTTTCCTGTCTGTAAGCCTCAATAAGAAAATCTAGGCGAGTCTGGTTCGAGTGAGGGGTCATCACATTCTGGATACAGTTCATCACAGGAACCCGTGGCTGAGAGAGCTGCGTCGTATGCCGCGTGTTTGTCTTCAACGCCCACAGAGTTTTTCGGTAAACTGAAAAATGTAATAGAAAGTTTTACATATCATGGTATAGCATACTTATTCTAGAAAACACAACCCTATGAACGATATTGTTCCTTATCAACAAGGAAAGCAAACCCTCTTATGTAGAAGGAAGTCTATAATAGGCCAGTAGTAATCTGCCAGGACACGTTGACAACTATAATTTGAAAAACTTCGTCCTGATCCTACTCCCACTTGTAATAAATAGATAATAGATATAATACCGAATAGACCATAATTTACCAATTACAGAGACCTGACAATAAACGTGTGTAACACATTACGTCAGACAAGTGCTTGTGTAAGCGAAATTGTGCATACATACAGGATGCTACAAAATTTGAGATTCCGAATTGTTTCTACATGGAAAATAGTCATTGGCATTTCAGTCATCTAGTCGTGCATACAGTATAGTAAAGTACAATTCCAGACTCTAAATTTTAAATAAAACGACAACAAATTGCTTAATTCATAAATTAAAGGTGGTCATGAATAAATAAATCAATAATTCGTTTGATTTATTCCAAGTTTCCAAATCAGAGCCTTTTCCAAACAAGGTCCATATCAAATATTTTCGTTCGAAATCCGGCCACTCTCAAAAGTACCCCTATAATTATATTCTTAATTATTCAATTTCAAATTAATTACTCGAGCCTTCATTTTGCGGTCTTCTGTGTCGAATAATCAGATTTTTTTGTAACTTTGAATTATAATTATGCTGGCACTATATTGTCTTTTGGATCGACACAAATAATAAAATTATATATCAGTTTTAAGTCATTACAACTTGAACGTCTTTTAGCAAATTTTTTATAGATACAAACAGAACTCAACAGACTATAGTAACTTATGTTTTTATATCACATGATAAATTCCCAAAACATGTCTAAAACTCTGTTAACATTAAAAGCCTAGAAAAGTTTTAAGACTAAAATTTCAAAGCTCTAAACCAGTACTCACGTGAAAACCGCTCTCATTATTTCTTGGAAGAACATGCCTTGAGGATGATCCTGCGTTTGACCGACCAGGCATAAAGATTTCAGCACACAGTGCTTACCGTTCACACCAAGACTGGAAAAAATGTGACATGGACGTGAGACTTTTTGTGCTCAATACAAAATTTTTAATTGTAAGGTACTAGCGATCCGCCCCTGCTTCGGGTGCAATAAGAAACCTCTAAATTTATCAGTGTTTCTCTACTATATAATATAAACGTTGCTGAAGAATTACTCTATCTATTAAAAAACCGCATCAACATCCGTTGCGTAGTTTTATAGATCTAAACATACATATGGACAGATAGACGGCGGATAGCGACTTTGTTTTATACTATGTAGTCATTTCAACAATTCTTTACACAAAAATGATTGTAAATGTTCATTCAATAGTTTCGTTGTAAAAAAAACCAGAAACAAAACGATAAAAAAGGCAATCGAAAACCAAAATGGTTTCGCACATCAAACAACCCAATATACGACATAATACCGACCCATGTAGCATCGTTTCTATTTTCTGGTAGAGTGAGGCACGACTGCTTCTGTGAAATTCGACGCTCTGCTGCATCATGCCTTCGTTCAAATATTCCCGTTTGTTTTCCAAAGCATGCATCTGTTTCCTGTCTATTTTCGATTTCTCGAAAGTTTCTTTTTTGTCCTCTTGGTCCACACTGCGTTTTGCGAAAGCAGGATTCACTATGGGTTTTCTGAAAGTTGTTCAATGTTCATGCAAAGTTTAGTTGTAATTTCGTATAGTTTGTATGCTAGCTCTGTCCGTCTAGATAGTTCGTAGCACAGAATTTTAAAGTTGTTATTTGTGTATTTGTGTCTGCTAGTTACTAAAAATGTTATTGGAGAAACAACACATACTAAGTAATGGTATATTTGGTTCAAAAATAAATTTATTTCTGAATGAAATAATTCATATTATTCTGTCAGCGAACGTTCTAAGGAAGTGAGCGAAGTTTCTACTTTTGGAAGTGACATTAATTATTTGTCTAAGTTAGAGGTTATGGATGGTTAGCCTGAGAATGGCCTAAGAGAAGTTAGCCCATATGTTACAAGTCTGTTCGGTATATACTTCAAAAGATATGCTTAAACTATTTACTACCTAATTTCTTATCTAAGTTCCTTGAGTTCTTGGAAAACAATTCTTTAAAATTATTTTTTTAAATTTTTACCTGTGGTACGGCTTCTTATCAATAATCTGTCCATTTTCATTAGTATAGTATATCACTTTGGTATCAACTCTTCGATGGAGTGGATCAGCTTTATGGTTGAACGGCGAATATGGGTCCTGAGGTAACTCCCAGGCCAACGCAGCTGTCGACCCGTACAGAAAGATGTCTCCAATTCTGAAGATCATTGCGTACGTTGTGCAGAATACTGGAATGCATGGAAAACATTAATAGTAACGCAGAGTTATTTGTTGATCAAGTGTGTATTATAGTACATACGCCAGCAAATCAAATTACAACGAATTTTTTTTTTTCATGGAGTAATCCGGTAAACAAGCACATGGATGGTAAACAATCGGCACCGCTCATAAACACCCAAAACACAAGAGGAGTTAGAAATTCGTTACCGGCTTATATTTTGCAATGAAGCCAAAACTATGTTCGAGAAATTAAATGAAAGTAGGTTGATGTGCTAGCGTCTATACTATTTATCTACGAAACCAACTTAGATACAACTAAGGTAGTTCAAGGAATTCTGTAAATCCATTATTGTATTAAGGACCGGTATATTTAACGATGTAAAGTTCCTGCTAAAGTTACAGTGTAACACTAACAGAATCTCATTCGGAGAAATTAGTTGGTAGACGAACCTAGTTGGCTTTCAAAGTACTGCAAACATTTCGTAATTTAGACGAGGATTTACTTTATAAATGATGTGGCAGAATCTGGTATAACAACGTTCGTATTTTGAGGAGCACTTTACGTCACAGGTCCATTTGTTAGGAGCTCTGTGCAATTGCTCGGTTGAAATCGTGGACATGGCATACAATATGCTGTTTAGATGTTTGTCGCTGTTTAGATTTGAGCGGTTGAGTTGTAAATTAAAAATGGCTGACGTAAAATGGTTTGGTTGAACTTGCTTTTAAAAAGATTTTTATTTTTATTGGTTTAATTTGACATTATTAAGCTTTAAAATGTTTTGTTTGATGTCAAGTTTTTTTTACAATATCGTACATTTTTAATTTTAATATCGTTCACAATATAAAATAACAGTTAACCGATCACTAATTTTACCATAACTTATATTAGATCTTTAGGTATGAAATTGCTGTTCTGCAGCGACTACTGGCCATTTGAAATCCAAATAATTTATCTATGGCTTACGATTCTAATTTCAAATTAATTTTATTTTAAAATGGTGGATATTTTTTCATTCAAAACGCTATTTCATAGGTTATTTCATACCTATTAGTTTTTCACTACTGTTTCTATTTTTGCAAAAATTGTATTCTTTTAACACACCGGTTTATCCGATATTAATATAGACTAATAAGGTATTATTCATAATTTCGTATATACTCACCCAATTGTAAAGAACTGCCTTCGGGAAATATGATAAACCTTTTTCTTCTAGACAAAATTTCACTTTTCTTATTCACCTCAATTTCATTATCAGTATCATTAACTTGTAATTGAGCTTGAGTTGATATTAACAACTGACCTCCTATAAACACTATAAGCATCCATACTGATTTGTTCATAAAATTCATTTTACTATCACTTTTTATTAATTACTTGTCTATAAAAATATTCACTATGTCTTGATCTATGTTCTCATTTACGTTAATCGGATTCTTTTTTTTGTCAAAGTTATTTTCTAAATCTTTTTCGAAATGGAAACAAAGTATCACATTCGATTCTAAGCTAACAGTGTTAGGATTATCCGGAGGTAATGTACCGTTTATCACGACTGACAAATAAGGTGAAACCGTTAACCATCCTTACACAGGGTGATTATTTTTTATTTGAACCAAAAATGGCATGTAAGATAGTTTATTTAAAAGTCTAAGGTTTACTAAATGAGTTTTGATAGTTTAATTATAGGTGATAAAAATATAAAAAAAATATTTAAGTAGTAATATTATACTCGTCATCATCGTGCATTTTTCTCTTTAAAATTGCAAGGCTAAGCAATCTTAATGATAAGTTTGTCAAGTAAAAACTATACCTGTTTTTCGTTGTGAAACACCATTTACAAAATGTCAACATGACTTACCAAAAATTGTAGGTCAGGTCAGCGGATATCGATCTATAAACAAAAAATCAAATAAAGCCTACTTTCATGAAATAGTTTAGTTCATTATATCTGGCAGAACCATCGCATGGCGTTTTAAAACCTTTCCTATTCCGATAGTATACATTCTTGAATAAAATATAGACTGCACATGTTTTGTTAGATATATGGTGTGATTTCGTGGAAAACATAGAGCTCATATTAATATTTATAACACTGAATATTTTATACTATTAGCTGTAGTTGAGTTGTCTAGAAATCAGATTTTAATAGCATATTTGTAAGAAAATTAATAATCGAAATCACAACGGTGTGTATTGATTTAGTGTGAACTTCTTGGGTGAGTATTAAAACTACTTTTTCTAATGCCATGCCCTTTTTGCGGAAAGAATGTTAACAGTTAAAACTACACATTTCAAATGATTCATTTTCAATAACAGTGTCCTTGATATTTTTCCCAGTATTGGTTTTTTGTGACCGATTCGAAGTCACGAGGTTGATCCAAATTCTCTCGAATACCGTTTCACTACATTTGTTAACTTTTGTCTTCAACATACATTATACCTCTAAGATTTCTCGGGTATCGGGGTCGATTCCAGCGTCGAGAAACGTATAACTGGGTTTTTTTTAAATCTCAGTAGTAGCACGGAGTCTAGAATTGTGCCCGGTATATGGCAATAGGCTCACCCCCTATTGCATGGGACTCATAACATAAATAGTGAAAATTGGCACTGTGTAATAATGTGCACCTCTGCCTACCCCTTCGGGGATAAAAGGCGTGATGTTATGTTATATTCTATATACGATTCATATTTGTGTCATAAATAATGATAGAATTGAATTACTGGACTATTTTAAAACGTATTAACCCCTAGTATGTCGGAGTTTAGATCTACGCGAGACACAATGCGTTTTCTATTCTGTCTCGTACATCGCCAAACAAGAAGTTAACGACGATTTATTTTGTTTTGTTTGATTTAGGTACATATATCACACATAACATAACATTACGCCTTTTATCCCCGAAGGGGTAGGCAGAGGTGTACATTATGTCACTGTACAATGTAACACCCACTTTTCACTATTATGTTATGAGTCCCATGTAATAGGGGGTGAGCCTATTGCCATATACCAGGCTCAATTCCAGACTCGGTGCTACTACTGAGAATTTATAAAAACTCAGTAGTAGTTTGCCCGACCCGGGAATCGAACCCAAGACCCCTTGCCCGGCAGTCGTACTTGCGACCACTCGGCCAGCGAGGCAGTACACAAATCAGTTTGGTTTATTTACAATACTTAAAATAAATCTATATCTTTTACTCTTTTAGATCTACAAATCTACGTTCGAAAATGGCAAAGAAATAAACTTAAGTACTTACTTCGATACACAATACAACTTCTAGAAACTTCTTAGGCATAAATATGAATAAATTCATACCAGTGTTGTTGCTATGCTACATGTGTGTGGTAGCTTTCATTATAATCGACGTGAGTGAAGCTAATGACACAAAGGTTCTACAAAGGAATAAGAGATACTTATCCTTCTTTAATATGACGCGGTTCTATGTGAGTATAATCTTGATGGAATTTCTATTTACTTAGTATTACTTTGGGTATAAGTTAAATAAGTCTAAACAAGGTAAAGAGTAAGAACTTCTTACAAAAGAATTTCATATTTTAATTGGGATTATGACAGGGTATGAAAATTAAAAATCTTATTAGTCCGTAAGTTAGGTAATGAAAAAATATTAGACACGTATTTTTATATTTGTCGTATAATAAAACAATACTTAGATAAAATGAATCAAAGTTCTCCTCCGCTCCTAGGAGGCCAAAACGTCATTTCTGCGTATAAAATGTATGTACATAGAAGTGACGTCGCGCAACATTTCAAATCAATATATCGTCGAAAGTATTCGTTTCTGTAAGAAAATAAAAAATACGTGTCTAATGATTTAAAATAATCTACCAGACGGACATTAAAATAAAAATTAAGCATCTACCCTATTAACAGTGTTTATTTGAGTAATTGGTGCCTAATACTTAATACTTTTTTAAAACATGTAAAATTCATGAATTAATTTTATATTATCATACTTGGCGTATCGTAGGACATAGCGAAGTAATATCGTAATAAGATATTCGACACTATTAAGTTCTTGTAGTCATTGCAAAAGAAAATGAAGTTTTCTAATGAAAACGCAAGACGTTTCTTAGTATTGTAAAATCGAAAAGCTCAGTCATGTTAACCTGAGATATTAAAAATATAATAAATAATATCAATAGTTAACATTCAACCATGCTGACAGTTCAAAATCTATTTCAATTAACTAATAATTATATATGTATGTTCTTGTATTTGCAGCTAAAATTCAACTTCAAAGCGAACATAATTCCATGGAACCAGCTGTTCGCCCAAGCTATAGGGTTCCGTATGAATTGGGACGGACCTCCGTCAAATTTTAGACCATTCCATCGGATATACAGGAGGGAAATCTATGATTATGTTGAAACACTTCTAGATAAGTAAGGAGTTTATAGTTTTTAAATTAATTATACATTGCTTTTTATTCTATTACGAGAAAAAATGTAAAACCTTTATCTTTATGTTTATCTTATGTCTTAAAACTGTAAAAAGTAATTTAAAAATAAAGCACTTCCAATTTAGGCACTATGCAACAAAAAGGCAGCCTTTGTATATTTAAACCTGTAACCTAAAACACATAATGTCTGGGAACTAAAACATAAATATTTACGAAGATTAAAATCTTTGTTTTTCAGAAATGGTTTGGAAGGATTCCACTGCGTCCGACGCGCCATCTGTGAGATACAAATGATCGCGGAACCTAACATGATATACCACAAACTACTAAAAATGGTTTTTAGGTAATTTTTTTTTACTTTGATTCCCTATATACCTAAATGCAAGGCATTATAAATGTATTAATAAACAAATAAATAAAAATCATTTATTTCAGACCACAGACTCCATAGGCACGGCAATTTTGTTAGTAGTTACAACAAATCTTTTATCTAATTTTAGTAATCAACAATGAAACGTTCAACACTAAGTATCCCCGGTGTCTTCTCTATAGGCTCACCGATCCTAACCGTACCCCAACACATGGAATTCAGTGAACCTACTGAGCAGAACAGTATCATTTCTGTCGCCTATCATCCGTAGAACGCTATTCCAGCCACAAACTCGCAGCACTACTGATGATTACTCACTTGACTGTCAGGATTATATCTATTTAATATACCTGTATAAGTAAATGCTGCTCAATTTGCAAATTCCATGCATAAATTACTGCAAATCTCTTAGAAAACTTGACCCAACTACAGAATTCTATTTCTAGAACTTCTTAACAACCTTAATTTTTTTACTTTACAGAAAAATGTCACCAACAACAGAAAGATGGCACAATGTCACCACAGATGAATGCACCACCTCGATCACTGCCTGCCCCCTTTCATTGCTTCAAGTATCACCCTACACTGATATCATGTGATGAAACTGTTTTTTTTATAGAATATGTATATACTATGATGTATATTTTGTTAAAGCTTTAAATAAATTATTAGTTGTTATAAGAAACCTAGTTTTGTTTTATTAAATTTGAACCTAATTAATGTAACTGCAAATTTTTTTTTTATTGGGGTTATTATCGAATGACTGCTCCCGCCTGGGTGAGGCGGGAGGGAGTGTCAGACTCTTACTGACTAAAAACCACCCCGTTCCTTCTCCTGCACGTCGAGCCGGAGCCCCGGTTACCCGTTAGGTTCTCTGCAACACCTGCAAGAATAGTGAGTGCATCTCATGGTACATCTTTGAAGGGTCAATGATGGCAAACATAACTACAAGACTAAGGTCTTATTTTTTAATACAACCAGAAATATTTTCCAATTATCAAACAGCCTTTCGCCGGAATACTATTCAATTTAAAATTTGTACTTAAATATCGTGCCGTCTCTGTCAGTTTACAAAGAATTTGTAGTGACAGAACTATACTTAAGTGCGTCTTAAAATTTAGTGGCGTTTGAGTATTTGGACGTAAGGTCTTGTTTTTAAATACAGCCAGAATAAATTCCCCAATTTATCAAACTGAATTTGTATTTTCATTTACTCTGGTGAATTAAAAAATATGTCAAAGATAATCTATTCTGTAAAATCAGGCATACATTGTCTCGGAGAGACTTTATTAAGAGTTATTTAAATATTCAAGTCTATATGCTAGAAATTAGAGGTGTTGAAAGAAATTGTAAAAACCAATTTTAGTTTTTGTTCATTTTTTTATTAATAGAACCATAATAAAATAAAATAAAATATTATAATATGTTCAAATGTTCTTTTCAATTGGTAAAGTCAACTTTTTATATATATATTTCATATGGAACACATAAAATATTGAAATATTAAAACAACAATATGTAATATAGTATCAAGAACCATAAGCCATACGGTACTGTACCCAA